CATGGGACGTCATCAAAATAAAAAACTTCTGCACAGCAAAAGAAACCATCAACAAAATGAAAAGGGAGCCCACTGTGTGGGAGAATGTATTTGCCAATGTTACATCTCATAAGGAGTTAATTTCTAAAATACATAAGGAACTCATACAACTTAACAAAAGGAAGATAAACAATCCAATTTAAAAATGGGCAAAGGACCTAAATAGGCACACTGATGACCAACAGCCATATGAAAAAATGCTCAAAGTCACTAGTCATCAGAGAGATGCAAATTAAAACAATGAGGTATCACCTCATTCCTGAGAGAATGGCTATCATCTATTTCTTTTTTGATATCTAATGTTTTTCAAGGAATTTGTTCATTTCCTCTAAATTGTCAAGTTTATTGTTATAAAGCTGTTCATAATATTCCTTTATTAGCCTTTCAATGTCTGTAAAATTTGTAATGCTTTTATCTTTCAAATTTCTGATATTGTAATTTGGGTCTTCTCTCTTTACTGCTTTTAAAGAACCAGATTTTAGTTTAAGTTTTCTCTGTTTTTCTTTATTGCTTTCTATTTTATTGATTTCTGCTCTGATCTTTATTATTTTTCCCCTTATTTTGGGTTTAATTTGCTCTTCTTTCTCTAGTTTCTTAGGATAGAAGCTGAGGTAATTGATTTGAAGCCTTTTGCTTTTTTCTTATATATGTGTTTAGTGCTATAAAATTTTTTTCTTGAGTACTGCTTTAGCAATATCCTACAAATTTTGATATAAAGTATTGTGCTTTCATGTTCATTTAGCTCAAAATACTTTTTAATTTTCCTTTTCATTTCTTCTTTGACCCATGGGTTAATTCAGAAGTGAGGTTCATAGTTTCCACATATTTGAGGATTTCCCAGAAGTCTTTCTATTATTGGTTCTAATGTAATTCCACTAAAATCAGAGCACATACTTTTATGACTTGAATCCTTTTAAATTTATTGAAACTTGTTTTATGGACCAGAATATTCCATGTGCACTTGAAAAGAAAGTGTATTCAGCTGTTGTTAAGTGGAGTGTTCTATAAATGTCAATGGATTGACAGTGTTGTTTAATTAAATCTTCTGTGTTTTTAACAGATTTATGCCTACTTGTTTTATTAATTATTGATATAGGGGCATTGAAATATTTGAATATAATTGTGGATTTGTGTCTTTCTCCTTGCAGTTCTATCAATCAGTTTTTACTTCATCATCTTAAAATCCAGTTATCAGGTACATAAATGTTTAGGACTGTTACTTTCTTTTGATGAATTGACTTCTTTATCATTATGAAATGACTTTATCTTCATTAATATTCTTTGTTCTAGAATCTACATTGTCTGCCTATTAATTAATATTCAGCTTTCTCTTGACTAGTGTTAACATGGTATATATATTTTTCCAACTTTTAACTTTTAACCTATTTGTGTCTTTATGTTTAAAGTGCATTTCTTTTAGGCAGCATATAGTTGGCTTTTCTCAACTTAGGGAGTTTCTAGGCTCTGCCTGGGTTACCCCTTCCTGTGCCATGACAGAGAAACTCTTTAGGCAACATGGGACTTATATTGTTTGTTTTCCACCTCTCAAGAGCAGGGCTTGGCTTAGTGTGAGGTGAGTACAGCCCCTACAGTGAAAATTTTAGATGATAAACACTCTTGGATACATAGTTTGAAAGTGGATTCCTCTTTACATTTTGGATCCCCTTTAAATTTTTTACCTCAGTCTTAAGAAGATACAGAGTTGTGCAAATATAGGGCTAGCAACTGAGAGTAAATGCCTCTTTTAATTTTGCACTTTAGGGCCTCATTCAATTTACCCTAGTCTCAGCACTGTCTTTCATTGCCTAATATCCAGCATCATGAAGACCATTATAAATATATATTTTGTCTGGATTTTTTATTATTTCAACTGGAAGGTTGAATACAGTTTCTGTTACTCCATCTTTTCTGGAAACAGAAGTCTGGACTTACTCTTTATGAGACTTAAGAATCCTGGATATAGAGCTACCTGACTGAAATACGAATGTTTTTAGACCTTGCAAAGAATTTAGCAAGATTGGTCTTCTGCAAACAAGAGATGAGCACCTACTTTATGCCATATTCAGGGCTAGGATCTGGGGTTAAAATCAAATAAGACAAATACCTAGCCGTATTCATAGCTGGCTTCCTTAGAAATATTACATAGGCTCTTTTATACCATGCATCACCTATGACATGGGCCGGGGAAGGCAGAGACCCAGAGAGAGTCAGACCTGGAACTGAGAGATCATCTTTACTCATTTCTATGTCCAGGGTGGTTCAGGGACTCACTTAAGTCACACAGTGGGTCAGTAGTAGATGATTGCTAGATAGTCTGTTTGGAAGGGTATGAAGGAAGGACCCAATCCAAAATACCTTCCTTCATGGCCAGTCACCATGACTAAAATCCCACAGACACTTACTCATTAAGGTTGGAGACCATGTTTTATTCATGTTTCCATTTCTCAATGTTAGCTCAGAGCCTGCTATGTGGTAATCAATAGATATGAATGAATGAATGAATGAATGAATGAATGAAAAATGTTAAAATGATCAGCATGCCTCTGGGAGGTGACTTAGGTTGTTATCAGTTGGGGATGTGTAGACTGTGATGAGCAGGCCCACAGCTGGGACCTATGATAGGAAGGCAATGTGATACAGTAAGTACATGAGTCTCTAACTATACTAGACCTTGATCTGAGTTACGAAACCTATCCCAGAGTCAGTTTCCTCATCTGTTTGACAGGAATCCTAATCCTATGTACCTTATGGAAGGATGTCAGGTTTCAATAGGATGAAATAGGTTAGGGGCCTGGGAATGACAGGTTTTATTAGCCTAGTGTCTGGGACAGCAGGTGGGGATGAGACCTTGCAGACATCAGGAAGACCGCAGCTGCTCTGCTCATGCTGTGTATTTACAGAAGCTCAGACAGCACCACTATCATTATCCAAAAGCCCTCCCTGAGCTCAGCATTGCACGCAGATGTACCAGGCAGTGCACATAAATAAGCCTTGCAGACACAGCCCTGCTCTCTGGGGACTTACGTGCAAGGCAGTTCCCCCTGGGAAAGACAGAATAAAAATGTGAATTCTGCCTCTGATCAGGTGGCAGCCCACGCGCACATGTAGGGATGAAGGAAAGACCATTTCCCGAGTGAGGGGCTGGTCAGAGGTGTGAGGGTGGGAGTTCCTTGCTCAACCCAAGCACAGAGAGAAGGGGAGCCTGCTCTGCCTTGTCCCGGCTCTGTTCCACGGACTCCATTCCTGGGGCCGAGGCGGTCATCCAGCTCCAGGCCCACGACTCTGGACAAATCTCACAGATGGAAGGTGTTGACTGAAATAATAGATGACTTTGGAGTCATGGTGTAGCTGAGCCACAGGCCCAGACTCTAATAGTCAGAGAAACCCACCTGGTGATACAGTAATTTTCTGCCTTTATTCTGACCGTGGTCATAGGAAATGTGGTTTAGGACGTCACTTTCTCTATTTTCCCATAAAATGCATTACAGTGCATAGCTATATTTTTAAATTCAAATATTGTCATACATTTGAAATTTAGACCTAGTCTACTTCTCGAAAGTTCAGATGGAAAAATCCAAGGATATTGCTATTTTCTTTTATCATATTAACCCAATTTTTCATTAAAAACATTTAATTATATTGAAATGTCAGACTTCCAGACTGTTAGAGCGAGAAAGTCCTTTAAAGACAAGCAGGCCCGGTCTTCTAATTGTACAGATGGGGAAACTGAGGCCCAGACAGGTGACTTGTTCAAGGTCTCATAAGTCGCAGTGCAATCCAGACTGGAAGCCAGGTTTTGTGCCGTCTTCTATGACATCACATTGCACTGAACCTTCTGAAAAAAACTCCTTGAGGTGCTTTAAGAACCTCATTGAGCCCCAGCCGGTTTGGCTCAGTGGATAGAGTATCAGCCTGTGGTCTGAAGGGTCCTGGGTTTGATTCTGGTCAAGGGCATGTACCTAGGTTGCAGGCTTGATCCCTGGCCCTGGATTGACAAACCTGGATGGTAATCAATCGATGTGTCTCTCTCACATTGCTGTTTCTCTCTCTGTCTCTCCGCCTCCCTTCCACTTTCTCTAAAAATCAATGAAAACTATCCTTGGGTGAGGATTAACAAAAGCGCGCGCGCGCGCACACACACACACACACACACACACACACATACACACCTGACTGAGGTCTGTGATTTGTGATTCTACATTGGCTGAAGACAGAATCACAAATCCCAGAAACCAGGCCTGGGAAGTCCAGTACAACAGGAAGCTCCTTGAGGACAGGGTGCACTTTCTCATCCAGCCATCATGGCCTCCATGGGTCTGTGGCAGAGCCGAAGCGCTCACCAGGAACTTGTTGGTTGTGAGTGATATAGGAGAGAGTGCATCTGAGTGAGGGGAGCCCTGCAACAGTGGCTCAGGAGGAGTCAGGACAGTGTGGGATTAATAGCAAATACAAGTTAGATGACCTTGCATTTAAATCACAAATTTGTACCAACTGCTGTGTGGCCTTGGCAAGTCACTCAACCTCTCTGAGCCTCAATAAAATAGAGATGATAAGATCTATTTCAGAGAGATGAGAGAAATAAATGATGATGTATAGAGAGAGACCATTGCCTGGTGCCTGCCTACAAGTAAACATTCAGAATCTGGTCTATCAGAATCTGTTTTGTTGTTTGTTTAAATTGGGAGAAATTATTTTCAGGCTTCCTCTACCCATTTTCTTTCAATCTGGAAGTGTCTGTTTTCTTTACCTGCTCTTCTCTTTTCTCTTTGATGGGCTGGCTGATCAATTAGTGATCATGGCACACTTCCCCTTGTCCGAGCTTCTGCTAATTAAGAGGTGGTTGCTAAGAGATGCTGGGCACATTGGTAAGCAGTTCTGTGCTTCTCTCTCGTCCCCCTCATTCTTTCTCAGCCTCACTTCATCCCCACCACACCCACCTCTCTCTCATCTTCTATTCTCAGGGTCTGAAGAGACTTGGAGAAACTGATAAACCTGGATGGCTACCCCTGACCAGAAAGTGGTTTCTAGGCCCCAGAGACCTGCCCAGGGACCGAAGGGGAATGGGGCCTGCCTGGGCCCCCTGGACAGCCTGGAGTGTATGGAGACACAGGAGATGGTGCTGGCAGAGGTAGCCATGCTGAGGAAGGCACAGGAATTCTTCCAGACCTGTGATGCGGAGGGCAAGGGCTTTATCGCCAGGAGGGATATGCAGGTAAGAGGGGCGAGGCCGGGCCTGTCCACCTGGAAAGCCAAATGGCCTGGGTCTCCCTATCTCAGGTTACAACTTGCCCCCTTGGAGGCACCATCCTTAACTGAAAAGAGGCCATAAACTCTGCCCTGGGAGGAGGCATCGGTCCAAGCTCTCCGGGTTCCCTTATTTTTCTGGTCTCTGTTTGCTGTCATACTCGGGGGTTATTTCCCTTCCTGACTCAGTAACTCCCCAGGGTTGGGGAGAGGGTGATAGCACTATAAGGGATGTACGTCAGAGACGGTGAAGAACCTTCTGAAACAGGTGAAAAGGCACCAACTTGTTGCTTCACATCAAAGCTCTGCTGAAGTCCTTCCTGGGAGGTGCATGTGTGTCGGGGCAGCTCGCAGAGAAAGGCATTTCTGGAGCTCACCTTGTCTGTTCCTCTCTCTGAAACCCAACCACACTAACCCCTTCTGTAAGCATTTCCAGAGAGAGATAGTGCAGATCCTCAATGTACACATCTGCTAGTGTGGGGCTCAGCAAACAGTCTGTAAAGAGCCAGAGAGTATATGTTCTAGGCTCTATGGGCAATGTGGCCTCTGTTCTGACTGCCCAGCTCTGCATGAGCCGTCATAGGCAACATGTAAATGAACGAGAGTGGCGTTGTTCCAATGAAACTTTATTTATGGACACTGAAATTTGAATTTTAAATAATTTTCATGCATCACCAAATATATTTTTAATATTTTTTCAACCATTTAAAAATGTAAAGGCCATTCTTAGTTGACTGGTCATACAAAAGTGGGATATGTCTGATTTATAGCTAGGAAATGTTTGCCCACCCCTGGTCTGGTTCTTCTTGGTGTCTCACTTAAGTCTCTCATGCTGCAGTCATGATTTCACCCTGATGTGAGTAAATAAAATGCAGGCTCCACTGGAGCTCTATGGAAGCATTTCTTTTCCACATCTTGTCGCCACTTGCTCTGTCAAGAGCATTTTTGGAAGGAAACCCAGCTATGCTATTAGAAGCAAGACCTGCAATGGCCAGGTTTTCTTTTTTTTTAATGTCTAGGTTTTCAGAATATACTAAAGTTGGACAATGAAAGGTAGACCTCATTAGTATCAATCCCATTGCTGCTCACTTGTGTGAGTCGCAAGGCGTGGAGGCTAAGATGAGCAGGTATTTCTCTCCTGTCCCAGAGGATGGTGTATTATGGCTTCTCCCAGCACCCCTCCTCCATCCAGTAGTTGCACAAATTGAGGGGAAAAGACCTGGGAAATAGAGCCAGCTAAGCCCACAGTGAGATCAGACTTGTGGGTTCAATTGCTTTCAGTAATTGACCCCCCAATAAATGTCTGTCCTCTGAAACTCATCCCCAAAGCCTCACTTCACATAGAAGGCCGAATTTCATGTATTTTGTGTAAACCAGTGACAAACCCCTGTCTGCGAACTTCATTCACAGGTCTGACAGTGGTGCTTGGTGGTCATAGTTCCAATGGCGCCCTTAACTTCTGCTTATCCCTTCTAGAAACAAGGAAAAGGGAACTCACATTTATTGAGGGTCATTCTGGGTCACATGCACAGTGCACCTCACTGTGTAGATCCCAGTTAACCTGCATTGAAACCCGCTCTTCAATGAAAGGAGGCAGAGGCGTGGGGAATCTAAGCTGCCAAGTGGAAATCGTTAAAGAAATCATTTGTGTTTGACTTGGAATGAAGTCAGAAACATCAAGTGCAGAGACACCAACTCAGCTATATCCCTCCTTAGTCTTCCTCCCTCATTCCCCACTCCTGACCCAGGCGGGGCGGGGGGAGAGGGGGGATGGCATCCGCCAGCAGATGCGTGTGCATTCACGGCACTTATTTCTACCAGCTCCTTAGTTTTTTGAAATTTCTGTGTAACTGTGGACAATGAAGCATTGAACATTCTTCATATTTTCAGACTAAGAGAGTGCTATCAAGAGAGAGAACAAAGCATGTCACCTAAGCACCATCTCTCTGATGCTTCCACTGGTCACGTCTGGAGAAAGACATGCTGGAAAGAGAGAAACAAAGGACAGTCGCCTCTCATAGTTGACCCCGGGCTATCTGTGTAAAGTCCACGTGCCCTGTGGTTCTCCTGGGCAGAACCTACAGATATCTGCCTGCTGCCTGTCACTCCCACATCATCACCCCTTTGGTTGGTGGCCAGCTCCATGTACCTGCCCAATACCACCCTTCTCACCATCAGCTCCTAGCACAGCCTCATGGGAGCCGGAGGGAGAAGAGTTTAAAGTGTTCACACACAAAAATTCAGCCACTAGGAAAGGCCCTTTAAAACAGAGAACGACTCTCAAGGAAGGAGAGGCTGTGGGTTACGTGGGATGGAGAACGTAGGGGCTGGAGGAGGCCGGTGAAGAGGCAGAGTTGGAACAAAACCACAGAGAGCTCCCTGTCCTTTTGAAAAATGAATGGGAGAGTTAAGCTCCTTCCCCAGTGCTCTTGTTCTTTTTCCTGATTAACAAAAGCCCATGTGCAGAGTGTGAGGTGGACTTCCCAGTCATCTGAGAGATGGGGGACATGGCCACCATGGGCGGAGCCCCAGCAGGAGGCAGTCCGCCTGCCCTGAGGAGCTGGGAGCCCAGACAGGAAGGAGCAGGGGCCAGGAGAAGCCTTTCTCCTTAGTGGTCCCTGGAGGGACTGAAGTGGCTGCACTGAGGGCAGGGGCTCCTTGTGAGGACATCCTGCTGCAGGTCGAGAGGGTGGAGCCTGACCTGTGGGAACAGCTTAGGCAGCCATTGAGGGTCCTCAGCTCCACCCATTGCCCCTCAGACTCTACTCCCCTCCACAGGGAACCTCTCCGGGCTCCAAGGGATCCCTCCAGGCAGAATGGGGGTACAGATTGCTTTTCAGGGTGGGGTCTGCACAGTCCCCTAGAGAAGCAGAGGGCCCTAGAGGGCCAAGGGCCCAGGGTGAGAGCCAGTCCTGTCTCACAGGGACAGAGGGACATGAAAGGCCAAGCTGGAGAGGTCACGGAGGGACTCCTGCATCTGGGGGAGGGAGTGGCATTCAGGGTGGGAGCAGTTCTCTCTGAAGAAACCTAGAGCCTCAAAAACTCTGTTTTTCTGATATTTTAGAGGAGTGAAATGGGTATCTACCTCCCAGCACTGCCTAGAACTCCTGGCTTAGCCAGACTGTTAAGAATCATGTAGGAATTGGCAGACCAAGCGAATCTGGCCCAGCAGCTGTTCTTGCAAGTGAAGTTGTATTGAACACAGTGTGCTCACTCATTTACATGGTGTCCACAGCAGCTCTCACTCCCAAGGCAGAGCTGAGCAGTTTGTGCCAAAGACCGGAGGGCCTGCAAAGCCTAAATATGTACTACCTGGCCCTTTACAAAAAGGGTTAGCTGACGCCTGATTTAGGTTAACAAGAAGACTTTTAAAGATTTATTTTATTTTATTTTTTATTTTTTGTAAATTGACCTGAGTGTTAATTCTGAATCTGCAACTTACTAGCAATGTGCGTTTGTATGTCTCGTCACCCTCTGGCCATGCTTCCTACCCTGTGAACTATTGTAGCACCTCCCAGCATTAGAAGAGAACAAGTGAGCAGGAGGGCACTGAGCCCTGAGACCGGACCTGGTGTGTTTCTGGTGCACGTGGGAGGGAGGGGGACTTGTACCCTGTGTCTTAACCCAGACCCAGTGTCCTCCACACCGTGATTTTTAAAAATTGTGGTAAAATGTACATCACATAAAATTTACCATTTTAACAATTAAGTGTATAGTTCAGTGGTACAGATAGTTCAATATGCCCACTTTGTTGTACAGTGCAGCCTTCACCACCATCCGTCTCCAGAACTCCTTTCATCTTGCAAAATAGAATCTCTGTGCCCATTAAACACTGAATCTCCCTCCCCCGCCCCCGCCAGTTCCAGGTAACCACAATTCTACTTTCTGTCTATGAATTTTACTACCTCATCTAAGGGGAATTACACAGCATTTGCCCGTTTGTGACTGCTTAGTTCACTTAGCAAAATGTCTTCAAGGTTCATGCACATTGTAGCATGTGTCAGGGTATTCTTCCTTTTTAAGGCTGAATGATGTACCATGTACACACATGCTCATTTTGTTTCTCTGCTCACCGGTCAATGGACACTTGGGTTGCTTCATGTCTCTGAGTTTGAACAACAGGGCTATGAACATGGGTGTATAAATATCCTTTGAGTTCCTGCTTTAAATTGTTTGGGGTACATGCCCAGAAGTACAATTACTGGATCACATAGTAATTTTTAGCTTTTTGAGGAACTGCCACACTGTTTTCCATGGTGGCTGCTCCATCAAGCTGTGATTTTAAGTGCAAGTCATCTGTCCTTCCTCAGAGATAAACAGAGGGCTTTTCTGCTGAAGAAGGCACCTTCCATATGTGTCTAGCTGGTGCTATTTTTGTTTGTGATCAGTGTGCGAGAGTGAAGGCAATTTTGCCTCTTATAGAAAATTTGGCAATATCTGCAGGCATTTTTGATTGAAACTACTGGAGAGGAAGGTGCTATTGGCATCTGCTGGGTAATGTCCAGGGATGTTGCTAAATATCCTATAATGAACAGGACAGCTTCTCCCCCGCTGCCCCTCCTCCAACAAAGAACTCTCCACTCCAAGATGTCAATAGTGCAGAGGTTGAAAACCCCTAACTACACCAAGGAATCAGCCGGAACCAAGCACATCAAACCACAAAGCAGGAAAAAGGTGGATCCTGCCTCCAGGGTCTCACATTCTCACCCTGAAAACCTTTGGTTCTGGAAGCTCAGCTTTACCCCAGGGAAGACCTGGCTGGTGCTGGGACAGAGGTCTGGGCAGGATGCCGTGGAAGCCCCCAAAGGAGGGAGACTTTCATTCTGGCCCTAAGGATGGAGCTCGTCTGATTTTCTCTCTCATGAGTGTCCCCTGAGACATGGTTAAAGCAGCACAAACATTTGCTTCAAGCTTCACGGGGCATGCCATGGGCTGTGACCCGGAAGGTAGAGGGGTCAGGCTGAGCGCAGCAGAAGACAGTGTTTTCCCAGGCCCTGGAGCCCGAGGCCTCGGTGCTGCTGCTGCAGGATTGCACCCGGTTGGATTCCGCAGTTTATAAGAACCTACAGTAGTGCTGCTCTGGAGTCTAGACCAACGTTGTGTCAATAGGAGTTCAGGATCCCTGTGATCACTCTTAGTCACTCATTTATTCAACAAATATCTAAATATTCCATGTGTGTCAGCACGGGGCTGGATCCTGGGGTCACAGTAGCGAGGAAAAGTGAATGGGGTTCCTGTTCTCAGAGCTTCGAGTCCCCTGAAGGAGCAGACATTCACCAAGATATCACATCTACAGCATGTAAAATACAAGCCCAGGTGAGACCTGTGAATGAGAGAATGGGTTTGGGGAGTCTGTGTGTACTGGCCGAACCTGGGGCCACAGAGCTTCCTGAGCAAGAGAGGCCAGAGCTGAGAGGGAAGCAGCAATTCAGAGTTTCTTAAAGGTGGTGAAGGGGGGCCAGTGTTTATAGGAGTCACAGATTCTGAGGAGCTGGTGGGGCCCTGGGCCAGGGAATAGGGTGCGCTGATGTCCTTCCATGTCTCCTCCCTGCTGCTGGCCTGCCAAGGGGTGGGGGGGTGGGGGTGGGGGTGGGAGTGAAGCAGGGGCTCTGCAAGGCCGTGCCTGGTGGTGCTGGCCAAATAGACGGTGGTGGTTGGTGGGCAGGTGTGGGATGGTAAGCAGACAGGGAGTGAGAGAATGATTAACCAGAGGACCCTTGGAATGCAGCGGGAGCCGGGATGGGAAACTGGGTCTTCCTCCCAGCGCTGGTCTCTGCTGTGACCTCAAAGTCTCAGGGTTATTTACAGAGAGGAAGGAGTAATCCTGACCAGACACAGCACGCTAGGTACCCAGGGGACAAGACCAGAATAAGCTGCAGGCCCTGAGAGGAAAGACAAATAAGAGAATTATAGTTACTAAGACGAAAGGATTTTTCAGGTAAAAAGGGTTATGAACTCTGGCGTGGTGCGGCTTGCGGAGAAGGCTGAAGAAGCACTCAGTGCGAATTTGCCAGGGTATGAAGAGTGGGAATTACTTGGAGGATATAATATTGCTCTCCCATCTTCACTGACAGCAGGAAGAGGACACTGGGTTTGAGACGTAGACAGAGGATTGGGATTAGACAATGGGAAGGATTTGTGGCGGGAGGCGTTAGATGCAGGAATAGTGCCTAAGGTCGGGTATGACAGCCTCTCTTGGCTCATCCTAACAAGAGAAAAGCTACCACGTGTGGGTGGTTTGGGTGAAAGCCGAGCTGAGGACCCTACCGACCTCAGCAGTTTCCTTCCAGCCCTTTTCTGGCTTCAGCTCTGTGTGTGCTGTCCCATTTCACACCAGGTCCAGCAACCCTAGGCTGACGGTGGGGACGGAGAAGGGTGTTTCCAAAGAAAGGGCTGGAATCTGGATGGGCGAGGAGCTTGGGTTTTCCCCCACCTTCGGTGTGATGCCTTTTGTTTCAGCGGAGCTAATAAACGTTCTGCTTGCAAAACTGATTCCTCACTCCCCATTCTCTTCCTGCGGCGTTTGGGACGGCTGGTTTATGGATTGCTGGTAAACCAGAGACTCTGCTGTGTGCTAAGCAGATGCACTTCTAGAATTTTTGCACACACCCTCACTCCCCTTCCTTAAGACAAAAACTCATTCATGTTTAATTTAATTCTTCTAAATGGCTTTCACATCATTCTGTCTTCCCACTTTGTAATGCATCATAGTCTCCCTAATGCACGTACCTGCCAAATTAAACTTTATGGCATATCAGCTAGCAGATTGCCACTGGATCAAGCCAAGTATTCTTGCATGTTATGTTATGGGCTTTACACCTGCCAGGTTTTTTTTTTGTTTCTTTTTTTTTTGTTTTTTTTTTTTTTTTTTGTCCAGATGAGTATATACTCCCTTCCGGCGGCCCTGTGTTCATTACATTCAGCTGTCAGTCACTTTCACAGGAATTCTGTGCAGTTGTCCTTTGGCTAACTGGGAGGGGGGATATATAATGAACTCCTTGGGGAGCCCTCATTTGGAGACTTAGATTATTAGGCTTTAAGAGGACATTTGTTCCCACTGTGCAAATTAGCCTTGGCTTGGGCCTCTGCCCACCAGGCCACGTTGCTCGTCATCCCATCAGTTGGTCCTTTCTGTTCTGGTCTCAGCCCAGGACTCAGGTCAGCGTTTATTTATGACCTCACACACCATCTTGCCCAGGTTCCTTTAAAACACAAATGTTCTCTGGAATTGTTACCTTAAGTCCGCAGCAGTTAACATCCTGTCAGGAATTAGTTGAGAGCCAGCAGGAGCAAGAGTGGAGCATAAGCCGGCGTGAGGGGTACAGGTCACTCAGAGGGAAGAAGGGGCTAATCCAGTCCCCTCTCGGAGCTGAAGGACCAGTGTGTGTCCAGATGTGGTGCTGGGGCCCTGAGACATGAGTGGCCTTCATCAGGGAAAGCTCTGCGAGTGTGACCCACACCCGTGTCTCAGTAGGGAGGTAGCATGGCTGAGGAAAAGGGGCTCAGGCAGAGCCGGAAAAACTGGGCACAAAACTGCTTCTGTCACTCACTCACTGAGTGGCCTTGTTTGGTCAGAATCTCTCTCTCTCTCTCTCTCTCTCTCTCTCTCTCTCTCTCTCTCTCTCTCCTTCCCTGCCAGGCACTATGCCACATTCCTTACATTTGTTAGCTCATTTAACTTGACAGCCTCACATTGTATGGGTATCACCCCACAATAGGATTCAGTCCTGATAGTTTCCGGTACAGTCGGTCCATTACAGCTGTGAGGAGCACCAGCTTTGGAGTCAGACCTGGACTTGACACCTGGCAACGTCGTTCCGTGAGGTCCGCAAGGTTGGCGACCGCTGGTTTAAGGAAACTTTTGGAGCAGCGGTCGCTAAATGGTGGTCCGCGGAACACTGGTGGTCTGTGAGGTTCAAAAGGTTGGCGACCGCTGAGCTAGGCGACCATGGAACAGGTCATTTAACTTCACACCTCATCTATAAAATGGAGATAATAACATCCACCTCCGAGGGTTGTCATGAGAATTCAGTGCAAAGATATATTAACATAGAAGGTATATAAATATATTGGTAAATATATACATGTTTAAATACTTACTTATAACTCACTTAGCAAATTGCCTAGCACTTTGGTAGGCACCCAATAAATGGTTGACATTCTAATATTCCAGGGAGGAGAAGAATGGTAAAGTGGTCTTCAGAAGCTCACTCCGACTTTTGTAGGACAGGGCCCCATCTGGGCCTTTTTTGGCAGGAGGTCCCAGGCCACCCTCCATGATCATGAATGTTAACCAGTGCGGTCTGGGTTGTTTTCAGAGGCTCCATAAAGAGTTGCCCCTCAGCCTGGAGGACTTGGAGGATGTGTTTGATGCCCTGGATGCTGATGGCAATGGCTTCCTGACTCCAGAGGAATTCACCACTGGGTTTAGTAAGTTCTGATGGATGCGGGGGCCCCATTGTTTGGGTCTCCCTAACCGTACAGAAAGTGCACCCTGCCCACCAGATCCCAGGGTCCTGGGAGCACAAGCTTTTCTGCCTTCCTGACATTTTCAGGCTCTGGATTTTGTGGCTCTTTCATATGTCTTCCTTGGCTGCTCACACCACTGCTCTCTCAGTGCTTGCCACACTGTCATTGCCAAGTTCCCTGCCACCAGGAATGGCAAGTGGAATCCAGAGAAGCTCTGGCAGAAGGCCTGGCATGAAAGGGGGAGCTGAGATGAGACTCCCAGCCTCTCATTTCTGCCTTGGTACTAGAGGACGATAAAGTGGGATGACTCAGACTCCAGCTGAGTCTCGGGGTTTAGGACTTCCTAGAGGGTTTGAATAGGACAGTCATTCCAGGTTAACCAGGAGATCAGAGATCCATGAAGAAGACAAGAAAACCAGCTATGCCATCAAATTAGATCCCATATTGATTAGAGCAGATACTGATCAGATAAATCAGCAGGTACATTTCACCGCACATCTGGCTCCTACAAGGTGCCGTATAGTTTACTGTGAAGTATCTGAGGCCTTTCCTGACCTTCAGGAGCTTGCAATGGTCTTAGGAAGATAAGACAGATTGCTGTATTACTAGACCGTATGAGAATGGGAAGAGTGCACCTGAAGCTATACAGTAATTTGCGAATGTGAAGTATAGCGATGCTGCTGGTAGGTCCAAGTAGATGATAACATGGAGCATGGGCGGTCAGGTCACTGGGGTGTGATGGAGAGAAAGGTCTTGCTGTTTAGAGAAGAAATCAATGAAGAGATGCGTTCTAAGCCAGACTTTAAAGGACTGAGAACCACCAAGGTGCCAGAGTACCTGCCATACATTCTGCCTTTCCCAGGTTCTATTCTAGCATCTCTGGCAGAGTCTCTTGAGAGTAGGAAAGACACAAAATCCAGAATATGTTATCCTAGGATATTTGCTATAGGTGGTTTCCCTTTTTCTTCTCTCAGATGAACCTCAAATGATTCTTGGCAACTGAGAAAGGGAAGGTCTTCTTGGGTGAGCATTGCCTGATTCAGACCCTTGTACCATGCATCCCCCAGGTCATTTCTTCTTCAGCCAGAGCAAGCCAAGTCAGGGAGATGCAGGTGAACAGGTGGTCCCGCTCCAGGAGGAGAAGGTGTATCAGTCCAGAGCGGAGGAGGATCTGGGTGACCTGGATGAAGATGAGGAAGCCCAGTTCCAGATGCTGATGGACAAACTTGGAGCCCAAAATGTTTTGGAAGAGTAAGTGGTGACAGTGACTTGGGGGAGGGAACCCAGCCTAGGAGCAACCTCTGTATCTGCTTCATTCAACCATTAATGTTTGTTAAGCCCCAGAGCCAGGCCCCAGGCTCCGTGCTGCCAGCTTCAAGACTTGCCCCATACAGTCTGCCCTTGCAATGTCCTGTTTGTGTGTCATGGTGTGGGGGCTCTGTCTCTGCTTTTCCCAGTTTTTTTCTCATGGGAATCAACTATCTCCCTACTCTCCGACTCTCCCACTCTCTGCATTTCCTGCTATTCATTACCAGCACAGTCTGAGGCTCAGTGAGGAGTGCTCACACATTAGAGGGCTGTGCCAGGCCTTGTGGTTTTCTCTGCATTTTGCCTAAGGCCTCACCGTCAGCTCACCAGCATTGCCACCTTCATTGGAGCCAACCCAGGCTCTCTGGGGCTGCGGTGCATCCCAGCCACCCCCCTGTGGTATGCTCCTGGCAAAGGCGCCCTATGTGGAAGTGTCTGCACATTGCATCCCAAGCCAAACCAAACCCGTCAGGAAGCCGAGGCAGGAAATTAACCAGGTTTTACCAGCCCACCACTTGGATAATCAGTAGCTCAGCTAGAAATTTTAGATGGAACTTCAAACAAAACATAATACTTCATTTTTCTATATTTTGCAAAGAGTGTTTTGGAAGAAAGAGAGATAAAAATCTGAGCCCTAACATTTAAAATGGAATTTAAAAATGATATAAAATAAAATAATAAAATAAAATAAAGTGATGGTATCACTAATGGAAACCATACAGTGACCTGAAAAACATGGAATACTCTGCCCCCTATTTCTGTTGCCTTTTGCCTTTTCGTTTTGGGGTCTATAGGTCTTGGGTTGGGTGTGTGTTTCATGAAGGGTGGGAGTGGCCTAATGATTGGAGCTGATGTGTCCTGAGCTTGGGAAGAGGAGACTGTGATAAAGAGGAAGCAGGAGAGAAGGAGTCTGCAACAACAGGCAGGCCTGAGAAAGTGTCTGTTGCTACGTGAATTTTCTAGCAAATGACAGGCAGTGCAAATGATTTGATTGGCTGTGTCTGAGTTGAGAAAAGCTGGGAAAACCTGTGCCAGGCAAGGAAAGGACAGGTGGAGGGCTAGGAGAGAGCCCTGTGGGAGGCTCTGGCCAGGAAATGAAATGACACAGTGGCAGCGGCAGCAGCTCTGCTCAGGCCTGGAGGGCTGGTGCAGGCGCAGATCTGCAGAACTGGAGTGGGCTAGGCAGGCGTGCTGGGGGCGCAGGTATGTGTGAAGCTCGTTAGTCAGACACCTGACTCAGCTTCTCCAGGGACAAGAGGCCAGAGCACAGTGACCACTGCCAGTGGCTACGTGAAGCCTCCTCCTAGAGGAGCGGGGAGGAGAGGGCAGTGTGGGCGAGCCAAGGGACTGTAATGAGAGAGGTGCCTCTCTACCCTCCATCACTTCCGGAACAGCCACCTTCCTGGCAGGGCCCGCAAACCAGAGTTCAGCAGATGTCACCAGATGTCTGACTAATGTCAGAGGCAGAACTGAGTCACATGAGATTCCTGGAGAAGAGAAGGCTCTGGGGAAGGTTTCAAGAGTGGCCTACAAAAATTGATACATAGAAGATAGTGACCAGCAATTTCCATCCTCACTGGGGTTGAACAAGAAGGAAGAGGGCTTAAGTTTCAGCAGGAGGGTTGTGACTGTGGGACTCCAGATAAGGAAATAGAGGAGGCTGTGAGGACTAAGATTTCAAGCACCAAGATGGTTTGTGTGTTGTCCTGGAAGCAGGGAGATGGACATGTTGACCACCGACTCCCTTCTAGCTCCACACGCCTATATCTTTCCGGAGGAGAACCCTGGGTGTAGAATGGACATCTGGAGTCCCACCTTTTTTTGATAGTCTGATTGGTTGAGTGATTTTGTTGTTTATGTGCCTGGCTTATTTTTTTTTTTTTTTTTACCTAGGGTTTAAAGACTTGTCTCTTCTCTAGAAATCTGGGGGAGGTGATGTGGCCATTAATAAGCAGTTCAAGAGCTTGGAAAAGGGTCAAATGGGTTTGCAAATCTCACTGAGGTCTAGCCAATTGGTGGATCTTGTCAGGCTCCATTATGAACTTGACAGATGTGAAAAAGACCAACCTAGGCTAGTAAGATGCAGTTACTCATGATGAGGAGAGCAACCCTGTCATAGTGACAGGAGGCCATTGTGGTATCACCCTGAGACCTTTTTTTTTAAAAAAAATATATATTTTATTGATTTTTTACAGAGAGGAAGGGAGAGGGATAGAGAGTTAGAAACATCAATGAGAGAGAAACATCGATCAGCTGCCTCCTGCACACCTCCTACTGGGAATGTGCCCGCAACCAAGGTACATGCCCTTGACCGGAATTGAACCTGGGACCCTTCAGTCCGCAGGCCGACGCTCTATCCACTGAGCCAAACCGGTTAGGGCCACCCTGAGACCTTTTAGCTCTGAAACTTTTGTCCCCCATCCATTGTGCCAGATAATAAAGTGGATAGCCACAACCTGTTCTGTGTGGGGAGAATGGAGCTCATTATGGGAAATAAGGAAGCTCCTTACCTCTCCTTCATTTGTTTCTCAGATTCCTTCATGCCATCCAGTTCAATGCTAGTTTTTCAACAGATAATAAATACTTGTTAGGTGGATGGGTGGATAAATGGATGGATGGGTGAATCAATAAATTGATGGGTGGGTGGGTGGCTAAATGAGTGGGTGAGTGAGTAGAGAGATGGATGGATGGGTAAATAGATGGACAGATGGGTGAATAGACAGGTGGTCTAGATGAGTTGGTGAATGCTTGAATGAGATGGAGCAAGGGAAGGAAGGAGGGAGGGAGGGATAATTGGACAGATGATAAGATAACTATTTCTCAGTTGGCCTCTTCTCATAGAGTAATATCTATATTCCAGGCACATTAGTAACATGATACTATCAAATACCACTTCTGAGGAAAGTTTCTCAAATATGGTGCTTGTGATATAAGCACAAAGGATTTTATTCATTATCATGATGGTTTCTGGTCATAGCTACCCTCATATCATAGTGGTTGTAGAATTTAATGGAATGCAAATCAGATTACTGTCTGGCTCAGTGGGATCATTGGCTGTAGATTACTGAGTTTCTCCAGAGAGGGGAGCAGGGTCCATGGTGTACACCACCTCCCTATTCCTCCCTGCTGGTCAGCATGACCCTGGGTGTCTCTGCTGCTGTGCATGCACATATGAATGTGCCCTGTGGGCCTGTGTTTTTTTTTGGGGGGGGGGCGGTTTCTGGCCATGTCCCTCTATGTCTTTGTCTCTCTGCCTGCTCTTTCCCTCCTGACTTTGTCTTTCCATGTGGTGCACACATCTTTTAGACTTGCCACTTCCCCTCCTTTCACCTGTCAGTCATTCCTGCTGCCACCAGGCCCCAGTGGGGTGTTGCCTATTCTCTTCCTTTTCCCGCAGTGACAATTGCTTCTGCCATCCATCAAATGGCATGTCTCTCCCTCCCAGCTGTGAGGACCTTCCTTCTTAGGGCGACAAGCTCTCTCCTGTAGTTCCACAGCCTTTGTCCTCACATGCACCAGACTCCTGTCCTCCTTTCTTCTTCTGGGCATCTGAGATGTGCCCAGCATGCAGCTGTGCACGCTCAGCACCACCAGCCCATAGAGAAAGACAGGGGAGTGGAAGCAGCCAGTGAGGCAGATAAGGAGGTCAACACAGGAGCCAGACAGCCCGAGTGTGCCTCCCAGCTCCATCCTTTACCAGCTGAGTGGTCTGAGACAGTTCTTCCACCTCTCCTCTCCTCATCTGTCACCTCACCTCTAAATGGGTGATGGCAGCACCTGCCACAGAGGTTGCTATGAGATAAAATGAGCTAATATGCACACAGCAAGCACTCGGTAAAGGTTAGCCACTGTCGTCATTATGATGACGATGCTGTTTCTGGCTGCCTGTTTCACAGCTGGGGACTTCTGTGTTCCCTTAAAGCATTGGTTCTCAACCTTCCTAATGCCGTGACCTTTTAATACAGTTCCTCATGTTGTGGTGACCCCCAACCATAAAATTATTTTCGTTGCTACTTCATAACTGTAATTTTGCTACTGTTATGAATCGTAATGTAAATATCTGATATGCAGGATGTATTTTCATTGTTACAAATTGAACATAATTAAAGCATAGTGATTAATCACAAAAACAATATGTAATTATATATGTGTTTTCCAATGGTCTTAGGCGACCCCTGTGAAAGGGTCGTTCGACCCCCAAAGGGGTCGCGACCCACAGGTTGAGAACCGCTGCCTTAAAGCCTCATTTCCACTCTTACATTAACGTTCCTTTCCTCTTGCAGTGAAAGTGACGTCAAGCAACTCTGGCTGCAGCTGAAGAAGGATGAGCCTCACTTACTGTCCAACTTCGAGGATTTCCTGACCAGAATCTTCTCCCAGCTCCAAGAAGCCCACGAGGAGAAGAACGAACTGGAGTGTGCCCTGAGAAAGTGGGTGCCCTCAGCTGCTCTCTGTCCATCTGTGTGAAAACAGGAATGCAAATGGCGCTTTCTCTTATATTCTGTAAGAGTGGGAGCCAGAGTGGGAGGCCCCATTGCTGTCATAATGTGTGTGTGTTTGTATCTATATCTATATCTATATCTATATCTATATCTATATCTATATCTATATCTATCTATATCATCTATATCTAATCTATATCTATATCTATATCTATATCTATCTATATCATCTATATCTATATCTATATCTATATCTATATCTATATCTATATCTATCTATATCATCTATATCTAATCTATATCTATATCTATATCTATATCTATATCTATATCTATATCTATATCTATATATCTATATCTATCTATAAGCCCTTGCTCACATTTATTAGGCCCTCACCATATGCTAGGCACTATTCTAAATGCTTTATATACACTAGCTCATTTAGATTACTTTATTTTACTTTTTAATTAATTTATTTTTTAATTCTCACCCAAGGGATATGTGTGTGTTTTTAAAATTTATTTTAGAAAGAGAGAAGAAGAGAGAGAAAAAAAGAGAGAGAGAAGAAGAGAGAGAGAGAAAGAGAGAGAGAGAGAAACATGATTAGTTGCTGCCCATATGCGCCCCAACTGGGGAAGGAACCCACAGCCTTTTGGTGGACAGGACGATGCTCCAACCAACTGAGTCACCCGGTGAGGGCTCATTTGGATTTATTTTTATTCACATCACAGATGAAGAAATCAAGGGACTGAACGGTTAAGTAACAAGCCCCAGAATACACATCTTGTAAGTGGCAGAGCTGGGGTTCAGAGGGAGACAGCCTGGCACTGAGACCAGTTGGAAAACCACTCTCCCTACTCTGGACAGGAAGGCTCTAGCGTACTGAACCTACCCTCCCAACTCTGGACTGGCCCTTGGTTCACTGAATTCCCCTTCTGATCACACTCTGCCATCATAGCTCGTGTCTCTCCTGCTGCCCTCTTTGCCCTCGGGGCCTCTCCAGGTAACTAGCAATTTCTAGGATTCCTGGAGGAGGCAGGACCAGGCCAGTGAACACCAACACCTGAAGAGGCTGCTTAGGAGTCAAATGAAATTCAGCCAGGCACCTGTTGGCCACAGATGCAGGACCAACCTGTTCACCTGTAGTAAGGGAATGAGTGTGCCATTTGGGTGCTGTGCTTGTACACAGCCATTGCATGTATATTACAGCAGTGAGCTCGTGCGCTGTGAAACATAGTGTAACTACGGATGATGCATAATCCTGAATGTGCAGCCAAAATGCTTGGCTGCATTTGGGTAGTGCTCAGAAGCATGCAGAGGTGGCCCTCCCCCATGCCTCAGCCACAGACTCGTCCCCACCTGGAGACCCGCCTATATTCCATAGGAATCCTCAGCAATTCCAACACAGACCACACCCCCAACCATGCAGATACTTCCCCACAAGCTTCCTGGTGCCCAGCACAGCCTCCTGAGGGCAGTGTTTCAGAGTCTGTGTGGACATGGCCTTAGTGAAAGCTCGCAAGCCCCTAATTAAAAAAGAGATCACCTTGTGTCTTACTGTGCAGGTCAGCTGCCATATATTACCTGAGCTCTGTTCCCCTGCCCCTCACATTAGCTCTAAAGATAACTTGTCGAGGTCCACTGGTACACATAGGAACTTTAGAACCCCGAGTTATGAGAAAGTTGTGACCAACAGGTGTTGGGGGGACCTGGTTTGACTGAGCAATGTCATGAGCCTTCTGGGGAAAGGCCCCCAAGGCTCAGAGAAAGGAGGGTTGAGGATACATTTTCATATAGTCTGTAGCTGATTAACCCATGAGCCAGACAGATCTGAGTTTGAACATTGGCTCTGCCACTTACTAGCTGTGTGAGTTAGGCAAGTTACTTAAACTCTCCGAATCTCAGCTTCCTTATCTATAAAACTAGAGGCCCAGTGCACGGATTCATGCACTGGTGGGGTCCCTTGGCCTGGCCTGCGCCCTCTCGCAATCCGGGACCCCTCAGGGGATATCGGAGAGCCGGTTTTGGCCTGATACCCCCAGGCCAGGCCGAGGGACCCCACCAGTGTATGAATCTGTGCACCAGGCCTCTAGTATGCATATAAGATCTTTGGTTAATCTCTTCCTGCCCTCCCCTCTACCCACTACTCTCTGAGATTAATCAGTCTGTTTCATGTTTCCATGCCTGTGCGTTGAGCATTTGCCGCCTGGTGGTCAGTGTGCATCATAGCTATCAGTTGAATGGTCAAACGGTCTAACAGTCGCTTAGGCTTTTATATATATACTAGAGGCCCCGTGCATGAAATTCATGCACGGGAGCGGGGGGGGGGGGGGGCTGTCCCTCAGCCTGGCCTGCACCCTCTCCAATCCGGGAACCCTTGGGGCTGCTGGCTCCAAACCGCTCACCTGCCTGCCAGCCTGATCCCCCTAACTGCTCTCCCCTGCCTGCCTGATCACCTCTAACCACCTCTGCCTCAGCCCTGCCACCATGGCTTTGTCCAGAAGGACGTCCAGAAGGTTGTCTGGAAAATGTTCAGTCTAATTAGCACATTACCCTTTTATTAGTATAGATGCCACCTTGTCCTAAAAATGCAGGTTGTTAGCAGGTTTTCCTATCATGGAAGGGGAGCCCGCAGTAGCATCCTGGGTTCTGACCAGGGCTTATGCACTCGTGCTTTATCTCAGCAGATGAGATTCCTAGAAGAAGACTCTTGGATGTACCTTGAACATTTCTATCGATTTTGCCAAATCATCCTCCAAAAATGTTGAACCACTTTAAACTCCCACCAGCAACCATGCATGTGCCCTCTGTCCTACTTTGATGCCAGTATCATTGATTTCCCCCTAGAAGCTTCCCTTTCCTCAGCCAGGACTGCTTGGCACTTGAGCCAACCTCACTGTTCAGCCTGGCACTTGATTTCCTGAGATAGAATTATGGAGGAGGAAAAATAGTTTTCCTCTACCCTTCTGAGTTCTTAGCGGAGGCCCTTGTAATGAAAGACAGATTACCAAGAGAAAAACAAAAGTTTATTAACATATGTACCTAGTGTATATGTGGGAGATCCCAGAGAAAAATGAATAACTCCCCAAGGTGGCTTAGAATCCAGATTTAAATACCTTCTTCCTAGGGAGAGGGGACAGGAAATGTAGGCCTCTTAGAGGAGAGTACATGATTTTTAGGAAACATAAATGTGAGTGGGGGGAGATAGTTTGTAACAAAGTTTGGGTGTGATGTCAACTTCCAGTCTCCTGTCCTGTGACAGGAGTCAGTCTTCACTGGCTGATGACACTTTTCCCATCAAGGGAACCTTTGGGGGGGGGGGGGCGATTTTAGGTAGATCAGGAGACTTCAGTGAAAGCCTCTCCTTGCATTTGTTGTTTTTCAAGCATCTGCAGCTCAAGATCATCAATATAACAACACGGCATATGTTGGGGTGGCCTGTTCTCTGCCCTTCAGAATAAACCCAACAAAAGCTTGTTTCCTCTTAAATGATTTGCCACAGTAGTGTTATTCCCTGGAGACAGTATTCTGACCAGACCTTCCTGGGAGTGGTCATTACATACCCTGTGCTTGTAGAAAGGTGTGGGCCATATCACTAAATAAATCAGGGTCAGTTTTCTCATCTTGTGGAAAGGGAGATAAAGTTATGATAGTTTATCTCCCTTTCCACAGGTTTCCTGGGGGTTTGTGTCTCTGCTGCAGCCCCAGTGGCTCTGGGGCTTGGGGCTGCTGGGTGCCGGCCCCCCTGCGGGCTTCTGTCTCTGCTCTTCTGGCCCCAGTGGCCCCAGCACCACCGCGGCTATGGGGCTTGGAGCTGCTGGGTGCCAGGCCCCCTTGAAGGCTTGTGTCTCTGCTCCTCCGCCCCTGCGGCAGTGGCGACCAAGCAGGCCCAGAGGCCCTCTGGCGTTCTGCCCCAGCCAACGCCATCTTTGTCAAGGAATGACAGCAATTTGCATATTCCCTCCTATTGGCTGTGGGCGCTGCCATCTTTGTCTTGGAGTAATAGGTAATTTGCATATTACTCTTTTATTAGATAGGACTAGAGGCCCAGTGCATAAAATTTGTGCACTGGGGGGTGGGGGGTCGCTCAGCCCAGCCTGCCCCCTCTCACAGTCTGGGAGCCCTCAGGGGATGTCCTAGTGATGGCTTAGGCCCCGTGGGGAGCTGGCCTAAGCTGCAGTCTGGCCACGGAGGCTCAGAGCAGGCACCCTGTGTGTGTGTGTGTGTGTGTGTATCCACTGGGGGCCTGCCCCCAGCCACATTGGAGGCTCAGAGCAGGTGCCCTGTGTATGTGTGTCTGCTGGGGGCCTGCCCCCAGCTGTGCCTTGGAGGCTTGGAGCAGGTGCCCTCTGTGTTGATCTCTGAGGGTCTGGGCCACACCTGCGTGTTGTTCTCAGGTTCAGGGCCACACTTGGCCCCTCCTCCTGAGCTGGTCGTGACTGTTATGGAGTCCTGACCTCATTTGCATATTATTTCATATATATATACACATATATACATATTTCATATATATATATATATATATATATATATATATATATAGAGAGAGAGAGAGAGAGAGAGAGAGAGAGAGAGAGAGAGATTGGGATGATAATCATATCCATCTCAGAGTTCTGAGGATTAAATGTGATAATACATGTAAGCATTTGGAATAGTGCAGGTACATAAGTATTCAATGAATGTTAAAATAATAATGTTTATTGTTTTAAATGTTTGTCAGTCTTAGAGGATTTGCCAGGTTGAGGTGGAGAGTTGAAGCCTTGATATAATTGGAGGTGACATTAAGGATCCCTTTACCCTGTCATTGAACCTTATTACTCGAAGTGTGGTCCATGGACCAGCAGCATTGGCATTACCTGGAAATTTCTTAGGAATGCAGAATCCCAGGCCTTGCCCCAGTTGTATTGAATCTGCATTTTAGCAGGATGTCCAGGTGCTTTGGACATGGGTTTGAGAAGTGGGAGGCTGGGAATGAGGAGCTTGAGTT